GGGTGGTGAATTTAACGTTCTCATCTGAACTTCAGGTCTATTCTTGCACCGGTAATATTCGCTTTTGCTACATGGTTATCAGAAGCAACATGGCCTTAAAACTCAAACTCATTTATATTCATTAAAGAAGTTTTTTATACAAGAGATTCCTTTCTTTTAAATTTTTCTTTCTCTCTTTTTTTCTGTTTAAATCATTCAATGGCCATAAAAATATAAAATAATTATATTTTACTTTTTTATGGGAGAGGAGAAATAGTATGACTAATCATACAGTTGTACAATTTTAGGGCTCGGAATCAAGACAATACTCACCAAACCAAACCCACTGTTGTAGAGTCAATTCTGACTCACAGCAACACTATAGGACAGAATAAAACCACCACATACAGTCTTCAAGGCTGTAATCTTTATGGAAGCAGACTGTCATATCTTTCTTCCACAGAGCAGCTGGTGGGTTCAAATCACCTGGCACTTTCGTTAGCAGCTAAGTTACTCAACTACTGCATCACCAGGTCTCCTTAACCAAGATAACGCATTGCATTATTTAGGGAAAAGTAGAAAAATTAATCCTGAGTAATAACTCACAGGAAATCTAGAGAACACTTAATACTTTTACTTGTTGTTGTTATGTGCCATCGAAGTCGGACCTGACTCATAGCGACCCCTCCTTGGGTTTCCGAGGTAGTATCACTACGGAAGTAGATTGCCCCATCTTACTTCCGAGGGAGTGGTTGGTGGGTTTGAACCACCAGCCTTCTGGTTAGCAGTCAAGTGTCTTAGCCACTAATACTTTTACTAGTTATCCAAAATGGACACATACTAAGGAAAGGATGTATCATTAGTCAGATTATCTAGCAAAAGTTACTAGAGAAAAATGAGATATATTTTATGACATGGAAAAGTAACCTTTGTAAGGCAAACAGGAAAATCCATAGATAGTAAACGAGTATAGAGGATTATTTTACAGATACTGCAAAGCCAATAATAAATAAGTTGTTAAGTACATCAAAGGGATGAAATGCGCTAAAAAATAGATGGAACTATTTAACTAATTTCAGTTTTTATATAAAGCCACACACAAATGCTATAAAGCTATCATTAATTAACCATGCGACTTTCTCTCTAGATAACTAACCCTAGCTCCTCATTTACTTTTCAGGTGCAAAGGGTTAAACATCCAGCTGCTAACCAAAAGGTTGGTGATTCAAAGCCACCCAATAGCTCTACAGGAGACAGACCTGGTGATCTGCTTCCATAAAGCCAGGGAAACCCTATGGGGAAGTTCTACTGTTATAAGGGGCTGCTGTGGGTGAAAATGACTCAATGGTACCTGATGATAACACCAAAGCAAAAAACCAAACTCACTGCCATTGAGTAGATTCCAACTCATAGCAACCCCTCCTTGGGTTTCTAAGGCGGTATCTCTATGAAAGTAGATTGCCCAGTCTGTCTTCTGAGGAGTGGCTGATGGATTTGAACCGCCAACCTTCCGGTTAGCAGTCAAATGCTTTAGGCACGACACCACCGGAGCTCCCTATGACAACACAGTACACTAGATGAAGTTCAGACAGACAAAAGTTCTAGTCCTCTGCCATTTACTGAGAAAGTTTCTCATTCTCACCAAACCTGTTTCCTTACTGCAAAATGGGGATAATGGTTGTACTTACCTCATAGGGTTAAATGAGATAAGAAGTTTAAATTTCTTAGCAAGCTACTTGGCAAGTAACTTCTAATTATTCTTATTTCTCTAACCATTCTATTTTTCAATAATACGTCTTTAACCAAAACTTTCCAAATAAGATGTCTCTCTTAACCTCTGTTTTATTTAAATCCTTCTTCACCCACAGAGCCTGGGCTCCAGTGTTCTATAATGTGTCAAAATATTATTTTGTGCCTAAATATTAAACTGCATAGTTTCTATCTACATGCTATATATCTCTATTTTAACAATACACTCTAAATCTTTAAGTATCACTGTCAAGTTGACTTATGTTTTTATAATATCTTTTCCCTGGAAACTATTAGGAAATAGTTTGCTACTAAACTTGTCAATATCCTTCTGAGATGAAGAACAGATTATCACAATCTACTATAGTGATATGTTGTTGTTACTGTTGCTATGTGCCGTTGAGTCGGACCCGACTCATAGCGACCCTTCCTTGGGTTTCTGAGGCAGTATCACTACGGAAGTAGATTGCCCCATCTTCCTTCTGAGGAGTGGCTGGTGGGTTTGAACCGCCAGCCTTCTGGTTAGCAGTCAAGTGCCCTAGCCACTATGCTACCAGAGCTCCTCTATAGTGATATAATTACATAGTAATAATAAACAGGGTCTAGGAAAAGCTTGGAGGAGCTCTGGTGGCATAGTGGTTAAAGCATTTGGCTGCTAACCAAAAGGTTGGCAGCTCAAACCCATTAGCTGCTCCATGGGAAGATGAGGCAGTCTGCTTCCATAAAGATTTACAGCCTTGGAAACCCTATGGGGCAGTTCTACTCTGTCCTATAGGGTTGCTGTGAGTTAGAATCGACTCAATGGCACTGGCTGGGTTTTGGTTTACAAAGAGCTTGGGAGTCTGAGGTAGTGTGAACAGTTAATGCACTGGCTGCTAATTGAAAAGCTAGAGATTAGTTCATCCAGAGGTGCCCCGAAGAAAAGTTTGGCAATCGACTTCTGAAAAATCAGCCACTGAAGATCCTATGAAGCACAGTTCTAATCTGACACACATGGTGTCATCATGAGTCAGAATCAACTCGACAGCAATTAGTTCAGGAGAAGGTTAACGGACTGAGCAGAGGCAAAATAGCCAGTGGAATAGTGACTGAAATGTAATATTGCCATTCATGGTATCATATTTCTGTTCTGGATCAGCTAAAACATATTCTTAAGAAAAATTATTGAGGTAATTTAGGCAGTTCTAATGAGTCAGCATTGACTTGATGGCCATGGGTTTGGTTTAATAACTACCTGTTCTGATAAGAAAGTCTTCTGAAAGAGACCTTTAGAACCAAACTGCTGAGTCTGAACTCTCACAAAGTTAGACGTCACACGAAGACAGAGATTCTCTCTTTCCTTTTATTTGTATTTCATCTCTGCCTTCATGTACTGCTACTAAGTAAGGTGGGTAGCACAGAAGTGGACACCAGCCTGGCAACTAAGAGGTATAAGAAATTCCATGTATATGACCTTTAATCACCAATTAATTGAACTGTGTGAGAAATAACTCAAAGGGGAAATTTGAAAACAAAACTACAATCAATTTTTAAAATTTCTTCTTAACTTACTAAGATAAACCATATTATTATAGAAGCGCTTTCAAAATCAGGTCTTTGAAATGTATTCTGAATTCTGTCACTCATGACTTCTCTTAGTCTGAACTTCATTCACTAACTTTTCCCAACCTAGTTCTCCTGCCCCATGCAATTCATAAGAGAAAGGAGAAAGCAGTTTTCTCCTTTTCAAACTTCGAACCCATGGCCCATCTGGAGAAGAAGGGGCTCTTGTCAATAGAAGTCCTCTCCTAGTTCAAATTTACCTATATTTCAGTCTAAACCTTTGAAGCCACCCCTAACTCCCTCCATAGTATCATCCCTCTCAGCACTTCATTATTCTTTATACCAACTGTCTTTTCTGCTTCCATACAAGCAGTAGCTGACCAACTTCAGCTAACCTGGAAGGTAAATAAAGAAAACTACCTATAGAGTTTGAGTGATTATCTCTAAGCTGTATCCTCCGTGACAGCTTCATAGTGACACTGCAGCTAATGGTAGGAAACAGAAATGAAAAACAGGGCTATAATTATATTTTGCCTTTTCATTGTTTTAAAAATTCTTATTTTGCCTGTATTCTGATTTACTTTAGGCTTATTTTATTTTAAGACCAGGGATTTGTGAACTAGCATTTAGCACTCAATCTTTCTGGCTTTGCCTGAATTCATAACATGATCATTGGTTAAATATACATTGAGAACCACACTAGACTGTAAAACGTTTATATACAAATTCCTATTTCCTGCTCTTAAAGAACTTTCAGAAAAAGTAAAATAAAATTAGTCATTACCTATAGTAAGTGTTTCACTAGAGACATTAGGAGGGTAAAATGAGAGCATATGGTCAAATATACATATTAGATTACATTCTAATTTTTCATCTTACTAAGAGATGAAAAAGAGCTTTGAGTATGGGAAAAAAAAAAAACTTACTGCCTTCCAGTCGGTCCCAATTCATAGTGACCCCTCCTTGGGTTTCCAAGGCAGTATCAGTACGGAAGTAGATTACCCAACCCTCCTTCTGAGGAGTGGCTGGTAGGTTTGAACTGCCAGGACACTTAATTCCCACCTTCCTTCTCTGTCTCTTTTGGAGTTAATTCAAATCCAATCATAAGGGCTGATATTGCCCCCGAAAAAGATGTTGTTGTTATATGCCGTACACATTAGCATTTTAATCAAAATATTAATTTTGATTAAAAACAAAAGGGGCATGATGAAGTATAATGGAAGGCAGGCAAAAAACTGGGTTTCAAATCCCTTTCCTCTGCCAGCCCTTCCACCCCTCCTTATTTTATGATTTTTTTTTTTTTTTAACTTGGGCAAGTTAACTTCATATTGAGTTTAATGTGCCTTGCCTGTAAATAGGATATTATCCACCAAGTCCAATGATGTTGTTGTTGTTGTTATGTGCCGTCGAGTCAAACCCGACTCATAGCGACCCCTCCTTGGGTTTCCAAGGCAGTATCACTACGGAAGTAGGATTGCCCAACCTTCCTTCCGAGGAGTGGCTGGTGAGTTTGAACCGCCAGCCGTCTGGTTAGCAGGCAAGTGTCTTAGCCATTATGCTACCAGAGTCCAATGATAGGGTTGGAAAAAATGACTGATTAAGATCTCTCCCACCCAGCTCTGAATATTTCTCCAAATCTAAAAAAGGAATCATCCCAAAAAGGGGGCTATGGGTAGGACATAGGGTCTAAGGGGCAACGAACAGTGAAGGAGGCCAAAGCCAGTTCTCACCGAGAGGATCTTATCACCCTCCTGGAGCCGCCCATCCAGGGCTGCAGCCCCATTCTCTTTGATGCGGCTGACGTAGATGCCACTGTCGTTGGAGACATACTGCTGATCTGTCCCACCGACGATGTTGAAGCCCAGCCCTGAGAAAATCATGGAGGAATTGTGAAGGAGATAGGGGTGAGGAAGAAAGGTATTAGAGAAGAACAGATGAGACTGAAGAAAGGCCTAATGGGGAAGGGAGGTTGACAGGAAAGAGACACTAGTAAATCAACTGCAATATAGCTGGTCAAGGCAAGGTACCACCAACAGAGGACAAGTGTATCTAGAGTTGCCCACTCTGATCAGGCAGGACTCAAAATGCAAACCCAGTGAAAACCACTGTTGGATATATCAAGATAGATTTAAACAAAACTCAGTGACAGAAAAATGGTAATTTTTGAAATATTTGTAATTTACATTTGATTTCAAAGCTGTCAGTAGCATCCAGAATTTCTAGCATTCCTGATAATCAATCTACCAGGGTTAACTTTGCCTATGAGAGAAAGTTATGCTTTTAAACAATTATCAAATGAACTCTTCTTAATTTAGTGGGATTCCTTCAGATTTTTCTTCTCTCAAGTTTGTGGAGTTTGTGTATATGTTGTTTTCGAAGAAGTAGGCTTGGGATTTTCTATTTTTATCTATTTGAATGTGGAGAGGAGGGGTGGTCAGGCAGTGGTATGGTGTTAGGAGGAAACCGTGGAACACAGGGAGATGGAGGTAAGGGAACTAAAAGCACCAAATCGCTAAATTCACTCTTTCTTTCCTTTTCTGTCTCAAGTGTAAACAACTACATAGTTTGGTATAGTAGTTGCCAAGTTTAATTCACTGTAGAAAACCTAATGGTTCAGAGATCAATTGTTAAGTTTTGGGAAGGATTTCACTTTATAGAAACCATTGTTTTAAAGGGATTTTACCCATGCATAAAATAAATAAGAAGTTGCCTAGGGTTTTCTTTATGTCAGTTACTGACAGAATTCAGAGTCAGAGAGCAAAGAGACAGGAGATAGTTTGGAAACGATTAAAAAAACAAAATACTTAGTACCCATAACAATATATAAGGTTGGCAGACGATATTTCTACATACGTATTTGTGTGTGCCATAAGAATGTCTACATAAACAGAACTAACAAGGGGCAAAGTTATGATAACTTCTTAGGCACAGTCAACCACTCTGATGGAGTGAGTTGTCAGACCTGTGAACTTGTGCTCATGGCTGCAGGGGACATCAAGCTCAATTGACATAACATACTACACAAAAACATTGTTCTATATAGTACTTAGGAGCTCTGGGTGGCATAATGCCTAAGGCATTTGACTGCTAATCAGAAGGCTGGTGGTTCAAACCTACCAGCCACTCCTCGGAAGGTAGAATGGGCAATCTACCTCCATAGAGATATTGCTTTGGAAACCCAAGGAGAGGTTGCTGTAAGTCAGAATCGACTCGACACAGTAGTGAGTTTGGTTTTTTTTGGTTTACATTCTACTTTGTGAGTAGAGACTTGGGTCTTAAAAACTTCCAAACAGCTATCTAGATGCAACAATTGGTTTATCCTAGTCCAGAGCAAAGAAGAATGAAGAAAACCAAAGATGCATAGAAACAATTACTCCAAGGGACTAGTGGGCCATGTGAAATGCAGCCTACATGACTCTGAGACCAGAAGAACTAGATGGTGCCCAGCTACCACTGTCAACCACTCAAAAAGGGATTATTGGTGTAGGAGATCCTACATAGAGTGGGAGAAAAATGTGGAACTCAAAATCATAAAAAAGACCAGTCTTCCTAGTCTGATAGAGACTGGTGATACCCCTGAGACTATGGCCTCTAATCACCCTTTGGGCCTGGAATTGAACTCACTCCCATGGCTTCCAGCCAAACAATAGACAGTTGTATAAGGTGAATATTTACATCAGATAGCTATGGTCCTTAGAACAATCAACCATGGGAGATCAGAAGGGCAGTATTTGCACAAGGAGATAGCTCCAGGAGCAGAATGCACAGGAAAGAAGGATAAAGGGAAAAGGTGATTACAAGGAAGAAGTGGGAAGAGAGCTGCACATTATTGGGATTGCCGTCAATGTCATGAAAAAGAGTGTTTATGAACTGTTGGATGGAAAATGTATTTACTGTGTAAACTTTCACCCAAATCACAATTTAAAAAAAAAAAAAATTAACTTCAATGCTTCATTCGAACTGTATACAAAATTAATTAGAAACAGATCACAGAACTAAATATAAAAGCTAAAACTTATGTGAGATTTTGTTAAGACAAGATAAAAAAAATTCTCTACCTTGGTACTGTTGAGATTTCTCAGATGTAACATCAACAGCACTAACCATAAAAGAAAAAACGTTGATAACCTGGTTTTCAATTGAAAACCTGCTTTTCAAGACACCAGCATCTTAAAAAACGGGGAGGAAGGAAAGGGGATAAAAAGCCAAAGAATAGGAAAAAAATATGTTAAACATATATATGAAAAAGGACTTTTGTCCAGAATTTATAAAAAAAACTCTTACCATGAAATAACACTAATAAACAATAAAAAATGGTCAAATAACTTAGCCACTTCAGAAGATGTATCTATGGACAGTGCCTTAGTTTCCTAGTGTTGATGCAACAGAAATACAAGTGGGTAGCTTCAAAGACCACAAATCTATTTCCTCACAGTTTTGGAGGCTGAAAGTCCAAACCAGTGTCTTGGCCCTGTTAATTCCTTGTCAGTAGTCCCAAGCCTTCCTTGTTCCTTGGCAATCCTCACATGGCACCTGTCTTTTCCAGTACGTGCTCCTTTCACTATCTCATTTGCTCTTTTTATAACTCAGAAGTGATTAGTTTTAGGACACAATATGGCCTTATCAACATAACTTCCCCAATCCAAGAGACAAGGACCTATGACACAGGAGACACACAGGAGATGTTGAGAAGCAGCGGCAGAGAAATGGCAGCAGCAGAATTGAGAGATCAGCATGAAACAGAGCAGCCAACGTCCCAGCCCATGGAATGAGAAAGGTGAGTGTCTTAGGGCAGGAGGCTTGCTGGCACCTATCTGCAGACCTGAAAGAGCTCTGTACCACTTGCCCAAGCAAGGTGAGTCCAGGCAGTTGATATTGGTCTTGATTCTTTCTCTGACTTGTGAAGTTAGAGGTGGTCATGAGATGCCACCCCCATGCCCCTTTTGCAACTGGCATCAGAAGTGGGAGCACGGTACTGTGTAAGAAAAAGAAGGAAGGGGCATGGGAAGTGAAACTTGATTCTTTGGTTATGTTACCCATAATGGCGGCTGTTGTTGTTTTGTTATGTGCCGACTCACAGCGACCCCTCCTTGAGTTTCCGAGGAGGGCCCATCTTCCTTCTGAGGAGTGGCTGGTGGGTTTGAACCGCCAGCCTTCTGGTTAGCAGTCAAGTGCCTTAGGCACTATGCTACCAGAGCTCCTAATGGCTGATAGGAATATAAGAGATGATATGCTGCAGCTAAGGGGTGAAAAGTTGCTTTTGGAGTGTCCTGAGGCAAGGACCAGACAAATTAAGAGAGATAACTGACAAAGGGCCAGGGTGTTCAGGATACACCCAGCCAGAGGCTAAAGTCATATGCATATGAATAGGGAGATAGCCAAAGGCTGGAGAAGAGCAGTTGAAACTGGAATGTTTTAAAAAAGGGTCATGTGTTCTAGATTATATCTTTATCTGAATGTACAATGGATAACGAATGTTTTTCTTATCTGGTTGTACATTATAAATGAATAATGGGTATCATATATGTAACTCCACCTTCAGCCAATACCTGATTGGATATGCTAAAAGGGGAACTAGGATTTGCCCAGAAGAAATATAGGCTTTTTGTATCAAGCCTGTAGCCCTGTGTATAGGGTATTGGGAGATTAGATCAAAAACCTGGGCCCCATCCAGGAAATCTGCATTTGAAAAGGCATGCAAAACAGAGCAGGTAGCTTCCCAGTCCATTGAATAAGAAAGTTGAATGTCTTAGGTCTTGAGGCTTGCTGGCAGAGTGGGATCCACCTACCAGTAGAGCTAAAAGAGCTTTGTAACACCTGCGGGAGAAGAGCAGAGGCCAGGCCAAGATGCTAAAAGCCAAAGAGAGGTGTGCCTATGGTAGTGTCCTGGGAGGGAAGGCTGGTGTCAGAACTGGTAAAGTTTGGAGGGTGGCAGCTAGTCTGACCTACACCTCATAGGAATCAGCCTTGGACTATTGATATTGGTCTTGATTGTCTGCCCCCCTCATGAAATTAGGAGAGGTCAGAAGATGCCACCCCTACACCCCTTTTGCAGAAGAAAGGATCACAGGAATCAAACAATCCGACACTTCTTGTTATTTTTGTTAGATGCTGTCAAGTTGCCTCTAACTCAACAGCCCAATGTACAACAGAATGAAATACTGCCCAGTCCTAGGCCATCCTCACAATCCTTGCTATGCTTGAGCTCATCATTGCAGCCAGTGTCAATCTATCTCATTGAGGGTCTTTCCCTTTTTCACTGAGCTTCTACTTTACCAAGCATGGTATCTTTCTCCAGGGACTGGTCCCTTCTGACAACATGACCAAAGTAGGTGAGACGAAATCTGGCCATTCCTGTTTCCAAGGAGGATTGTGGCTGTACTTCTTCCAGGACAGATTTGTTTGTTCTTCTGGGAGTCCATGGTATTTTCAATATTCTTTGCCAACACCACAATTTAAATGATTCAACTTTTCTTAGACATTCCTTACTCACTGTCCAACTTCCATATGTATATGAGGCAACTGAAAATACCACGGTTTGGGTCAGGAACACCTGAGTCTTCAAAGTGACATCTTTGATCCCTAACACTTTAATGAGATCATTTGCAGCAGACTGACAAATGCAATATGACAATGTTTGACGTCTTGACTGCTACTTCCATGGGTGTTAATGATGGATCCATGTAAAATGAAATCCTTGACAACCTCAATCTTTTCTCCATTTACCATGATGTTGCTTATTGGTCCAGTTGTAAGGATTTTTTATTTTACATTGAGGTGTAATCCATCCTGCAGACTACAGTCTTTATATTCATCAGTTAAGTGTTCCAAGTCATCTTCACTTTCAGCAATCTTCCTCCAATCCTG